GCAGATCATCCTACCTCGAACAGCGGATCCAAGCGGTTCGCTCTCAGTAGCGCCTAGCTCATAGCGCCGGCAACACGAGATAAGTTAAGAGTCTCAGTCCGCCTCTAGTTTGTGCACAAGAGTTTACTGCACTCTTACGACAAGTGTTAAAGCTATAATATGCGGACATCTTTGCACTAAGATTTTAACAGATATCAAGAAAGTGTAGGTTGTGTGTTACATTTTTCAGTGCATTAGCCTTTTTCGCTGTTTTTATAAAACACAGATCTAATGGAGAAGCGACATTATGAATTAAGGTTTGTTTGTACTTAAGTTATTAAGCTCCATCAATATTTACAAAACTATTACTCTAACGGTAGTTGTAGTGTATATGTTATGATTGGAGTGAAGAAGTTTTTGCCATTTTGGAAATACTAGTTGACTAATCGTCTCGGCATTTTTTGGAAAAATACAAGTTTCTGCTAAGCCTACGTATGGGGAGAACAAACAATTGTAAAACCATAGGCGTGGATGGGAAGATATTATTAAAGTATGTTGTAAAGACATAGATTGTGAATATGTAAACTGGATAGAAGTGGCTCAGGATATGGTCCAGTGGTAGACTTTTGTCATGGTGGTCACGAAAATGGATGCAAGATGTTCAGAGAAAATTACTCTAGTATTAACTTACGAAGGAAGACTCTTGCTTCTTGATAAAATTCGTAGCGTTTTTCCCAGTATTTGTAGCATAAGACGCCTCATAGTCATAGCCGTACGAATCCAGTTAATAATGTTATAATTGCTTTTGTTAGTGCGTAGGTTATTTAAAGACGCTGCATCAATTTCATTGTTTATTTAGTGTCAATGTAATGAGAGGAAAGTGTGTACAGTGACTGGGAAAATCTGTATTGATGCAGTCGTGCTCCGGGATTCCCCTGTGAGGGGGAGCTGAGGAAAACCATAGAAACCCTGAAACACGATAACCAGTCTCGGGTCTGTTGTTCCGAAACCAAGACCACCAAATACGAAGCTCGCCTACCATGACAGCTTGGTTTATGCCAGTGGCTCCCGGCGACGGCCGAATCTATTTCACTTCACCGTCCATAGGGTCTAATTATTTTCATCGACGTTGAATGACGTTCACGGGTCATAGAGAGTCTTTGAATACCCCACAGATCGAAGGCTACAAAAGTTAGGACTTTTAACATTTTGTGAATGACTGTACAAGGGTTTATATTTAAGGTGTGATAAACCAGCTGTGAAGTTGAAAGAACAAATGATAGATTGATTATGAAATGTTGTGTAACTCACATTTGTCTCAAAATTGTATGAACTTTAGGAGGAGAAAGTTGCAGGATATGTGTGTGGAAATAGAATTGGATGTCAGGAAGGCAAGAACTACTATGACCTGTTCTAATTGAAATTCACATCAAATATAATGCAATAAAGCACCTAAACCCCTCGGAATAGTGATCAGAAAAGTGTGGAACAAATCACGGGTCAGCTGTACTGCGAGTCTTATATCGGGCATATTAAATCAAATTGTCTTATACAGAATATTCTCTTTCGCGCATCCCCAATTGACTATGTAAAGCATAGTGCAAGTAGTACGCGAAGTGAAAATAGACCAATCTTCTTCTTCGAGCCCTTCGGTATTTTCCTGTCAGTCTCATTCGACTATTGCTCCATCTTCACAGAGTATCAGTGGGCCGACTAGCGCAGAGTCTCACCTCATTACAACATAAAATAATAATACATTCTATGTGCCATCTGCTTGAACCTTTAGAACCTCGGCATTTTGCCTATAAAATGTACTTATTTATTGGTTTCATATTATTCTCATGAAAAACACAATTCGTAACACAATTGCGCTATTGATAATTGTTATGGAGATGAGTTACGTTTTCTTGCAGACAGGGACTGATATTTTAAGATCTGCCTTTTCCATTTCGGAATGCCTTACCTTCTCTTTAACCTGACTTTACCAGAAGGACAAGTGGGCATTGCCTGGGAACCTTCATAACTGAAATTTGTCCCCTTTAAATGTATGTCTACAGCCTCTCTCGTCTGGTAAGTCTCAGTTCATCTTAAGGCCTCCCTTTTCACAGAATAGAGCAGAATATGGACAAAAGGGGCGAATGGGACTCGAATTTGGGTGCATATGTTTTGGTATTTTGTCACCCCTCCCTCGCCCACGGTCCAAACAGTAATATTATTAAAGTCACTGACAAATTATTGTATGTAATTAATTCTAGATGCTACTGAATCTGGTGTTATACCATCAGTGGTGGCTTCGTAGCTTCTACGGATCGGTGCTCAGACTTTGTCTGCTCACGTTATAATTATATCTGACACGCTATTTTAGTACAGATTTTGAGATAAAATATTTTATGAATATATAATGGCAGCATGCTCCAAGAAAATGTCACACACAACCCAAACTGAACTTTTATTTTAGTTAGGTGTGTAAAATTCTTTACCTCTCTCATGTTGGAATGTAAAGTATACGTAATCAGGCTATTTGCATTTAGGAATGACCTTCGAGTTTAGCTTTAAAACTGTGTTGTAATTGTCTTTTTAAGTGTTACTGACTGCCTGTCGGTAATGTGAGTGCAACGCGATGGCAGTACCACCAGTAAAGTGTTTGACATTAGCCTGTTGTTAAACGAGTAAAACAAAGTGAAAAGATCATCATTCTGAGCTGACTTCAGGGGAAAACGACTTCGAAAAACAGAGACGAGAAAATGGGAAGCAAGTTTCAGCAGGTTGTGAGACACAGGTAAGATACGGGCTGTAAATTTTGGTATAGTGTGCTTGTACCAGTAACTGGGATACTTTTTGAATGGTGTGTACTTTTACGCTTTATTTTAGCCCTTTGAAGCACGAAGCTTATGTAAAGAATATTCAGAACGTCAAATCACACTTTTTCCCCATTACTTCGATCGATTAATGCTGTTTTAGTGAAATAATTGTTGTTTATCTGAGATTGGCATAAAACCAATAAATATGTTCTGTGAGAAAATGCAGAGTTCTAAATGTTAAAGTAGTATTTATAGAGTTAAAGAAGGCACATTAAGATTAAAACTTTTAAAAGAATTTTTAGCAGTTTTGATTTTGATTCTAGCTGTCAATTAAATGTATCGTATTTTTAATCAGTACAGTTTCGGGGGTGTTCCCGTCATCAAATGAAGAAAACAATCAAACTAACAGAAATTCGTTTAAAAATTAGGTTCGCCGGTCTTCAGTGAAATATAAAGTAAATGCACAGACGTGACTCGGCTTTATGGAATTTTCTGCAGGAATTTATATCACGATATATGCAACTTTGTTCTGTCACGACTAAAACTTTCAAAATTAGGTACGACAGTAAAATTCGCCCATTGCCATGGATCGGTTGCTAGAGCCTCGTTTGTGAAAATTGCACTCTCCACGAGAAGATGATGACGTAATAAGGTGGCAAAGGATTTCAAAGATGTGTTAAACATTGACACTTCTGAACACCTAACAGTTGTACACTTGTTTTATACAGGCACTCCATACATTAAACGTTATTTCGTATGTCGATCGATTTCTTTTACTAAAAATTTGGACGGGTTGACATTATCTGCTTATTGTGCGTTCACTTTTCACACTACGTGATTATTATGCGTAAGTCTGGAGTTATAAACATAGTGGCCTTCAGATGCGTGATTCTTTTTACAAAAAGAATATTGATACGTCGCGTGTATCTGCCAGCAACATGTTAAAGTTTACGGTGCTAACGCTCTTGGACACAAAAACAAAAATTGACATAGAGAAACTTATTTCCGACATTTTAATCTCTCACGAAGGACGTGAAGGCACAGTAACGAAATTTAATTAGGTCAGTTACGTTTTGACACATAATTACTTGGAAAATATGAAGGAAATATTTGTCATGAAGAAAAGTACGTGGATATTTATTTTCGTGTGCTTGGAAATATGAGTAACTTTTGATACTAAGGAAGTCTTTCAGACAGGATATGGTTTATGACATATAGCCTACTATTTAATATAAACATAAGCAAAAGCTTACAAGAATGGAAAATATGATTTATAAATGGAATTCGGTTGTTGCAGGCACCCAGTAGAATAATTGCGGTAATAGGTCTACTGTACGCAGATGAGCTGGCCCTACTAACTGAATCAGACGATAAATTATGAATTAAGGCACACCAACTAAATATCACTAGTTACTGTAGACTCCCGATCACCCGACCTTCTGTTATTCGACTTATCTGCTGCCAAATACAAAAACTTGTATGTACTAATTTACATTATGTTAAAATATTTTTGTTTGTGACATTTTTTAATTTGATGTTGTGTTGTATTTTCTTCGCCATTTAATAATATCGACGGTAATAGGTATCAGAGCTTGAAAATTTCTTTAATAAGATATAAGACAAAACTGTAGCCGGAGTGTCTGAAGGGACAACAACACTCAAAATATTTTGGAATAAACGGAAAGATGAATACGATTTCTTTTATGGAAAAAGGATGTAATTATGTGGACTGGATTAATTGATTTCTTTTATAAAAACAGGATGTAATTATGTGGACTGGATTAATTTGATTTAGGATAGGGGGCAGTGGTTGGCTGTTGTGGAAACTGTAACGAACCCTCCTGTTTTACAGAAGATATAGTTCTTTTGATCAGTTGAGCGACTGTGAGAATCTTACAGGACACTAACATTTCGAGAACCATCTTCGTTCTCGAAACTTCGGTGTTTTCTTCATTAAGCCAATTTACACGGCTGGTAGACAGAGAAGAATTTATTATACTTAGTCTCCGTGGAAGCTTCAGATCATACTTAAAGGACGCTGTTCCATGGAGTAAATTAATTGATTGACAGACTACTAAAAGATAGGAAAAACAAGTTTTTATTGAAAAGTGTACCAAATTAGCATATAAAAATTAGTCATTGCTTATCTTTGCGAAATTAAAGAATATAATACGATTTAACGTAGTTAAAATTCTTATTTTAGGAATGATCACTAACCACGTGTCTAATATATATATATACACTGGATACTGGGAACGACCCGTTCTTCAAGTGCCTCAGCACTGCGGGTCCCAACTTTTCGTTGGCTTGATCTATAGACATTCGGTAGGACCCCTTATACGAGGGATCGGCCCGTCGCAAGGTCTCTACCTGTACACAGGGCAACACAACACAGAAAAACATCCATGGCTTGAGTGGGATTCGAGCCCACGGTCCCAGCGACCAAGAGGTACAAGGCCAGCGCCTCAGACAGCGCGACCACTGCGGTCCCCTCTAATATATATCGACACACACAAACACAAATTTCTGTTATAAAAGTTCTCGGGTAACAAAGTGCTGTTTGAGCGATGCTTTGACCAGAAATAGTGTATCAAACAGCAACGTACCACGAGGATAAAGACAGCAAGAGGTTCGAATCTGATTTCATCCTCATCGTAACGCCTACTGGAAGGCTAAGAACCTCTGACGCTGATGTAACCTCTTTGTCGCCCTAATAAATTGCTTCCTTAGAATCTTAATGGTATTTCTTTGCTCCAGACTTCATAGCTTTTAATGAATGTTACAAGAAAAACTGTTAATTGTATCTTTCTTTGTACGTCCTACACAATTATTGGTTAATTAATTTTTCGTGATCTTTTTAATAACTATCGTTACATTTCTTGTTCTTTATTTGCTGCGACTAAATAAACAGTTTGATTAAATTAACTCCGTACAAACAGTCACACCTTCCACTGAATAGACTCATACGGCAATAGAGAAAAAGTGCAGAGAACGTTACTAACCCTTTAACACTTGATTGCTTAACTCAAACGGCAACAGAGAAAAAGTGCAGAGAACATTACTAACCCTTTAACACTTGATTGCTTTGACAAGGGAATAGGAATTTAATGGACAATAAAGTGTTATAAATCTATTTGTGCGACAAGTTTTGTCGGTCTGCAAGCAGAACGCATAGCTTGTTGTGTCTGTCATCATGATTGGAATATATAGCTCTGTCTCGGTGTCGCACTTAATCTTGTCACGTTGTCATCCTGACCCATGAAGTGGCGCTCTACAGAAAACTGCGCTAAATCATTGTTTACATAATTTCTTAAACAGTGGATCGCGAACTTATGCAAAGTTCTTGTGTTATTTAGCGTTGACTTAGGTATCGTAGGATGATTGTGGATGATTAATCTGATGAGAGGAATGCTGGCCTGCTCCAAGTTATGTGCCTACAGGACTTTAAAAACAGTCGTTATTATTTAGGTCCATTCAATTTTACAGTGAAACATCCAGATATTTTAACACAAACCTGTATGTTCCCGTGTTCGCAATTTTATTAATTTCTGCCATAATATTTTTGTATATCGTTTTACTATCTTTCCTGAATCTCTCTTTAAAAAAAAGCAGACATGAAAAATATTAAATTTAGTTTTATATAAAACAGATTGTGAACTCGAAGAAACGTTTAATTCAGATTTGTCGTCTGCATTTTTCGGGTCTGTAAATGTTTTAGTGGACTCTTTTTATTTTAGATATTTCTAGTTAACTCGTTACTTGGTCTAAAACCTGTCTCTGGTATAATCCTTAAAGACTGTCTGCAAAAAAGAGTAAATTTGTAATTTGCATTTTGATGTAGTCGGTGGTTTAAGAGATAATAAAACAGAACTTTCTTGTCACGTACCATCAGAATTTTGAAGCCGAAAACAAATATTTCAGTAACATAAATTAAGAAGTTGAAGTGAGAGAGGTTTTCGTACTTAAAAACTAAATAGAACAGAGCTGGGATATTCTGAACGAACCATACAATAAATTTCGAAGAAATAGATTAGGTGAGTTATTTACTATACGTTCTTAAAATCCTATACTAATCAATTCCTGTGTTTTAGCCTTTAATAATCTCACGTGCATTATAATAAGCGCATGGTAATAACGTGAATATTTCACTGCAATACATATTACAATTTATTACGACTATGAAACATATTCACACAAAACGGTACGCAGTCAGCTTTGATACACATCTGCATAGTTTTGCTTCTAGATACAGACAGTCAGATGTCCATAAAGAAAGTATATAGTAAATACCGTGTACCTACAGACCCAGTCACTGATGTTAACTAATTCTGCCACCAATTCACCTAGCAGAGCCAGTCCCGCATTTGAACTTTGGATTAGCTCGACCAGGGAGCCAAGCGAATAGAATTTTAACGATGATGTTCTGGGCTGTGACTCCATGTAGATTCGTAGGTAGATACTAACGTTTTGGAGAAACGTTCTGTCCTCATCTTAAGGGCTGAAATGGAAGTTCAGGGAAATGCAGATTTTATATACGGTCAGAGGAAGGTCTCCCTTTCTTTGACGTTCTGCTATCACGCCCTTCTTGATTTAATAACCCCCACAATACTTCTATATGCGGGTTGAAATACGGTACAAAACAAATATTTGCAGGTATAATTGAGTTCTAAAGATATTCGGTTCGAACGAGAATCATGTTACAGCTATTTTGAGTTTTGTTTTCATTATTTTTCCTCATTTGCACCGGACTAATTTCTGGAGCATGTCTTCAAATGGGAAAAAACCGCCCCCTTCTAAATCCTTGCCATGCTCGTCATGTCTACCATTTTTTTTCTTTTTTTCCCCAGTTTTCATTAGCGTCTTCATTCTCGAGACAACGAACATAAATATGTCGGTGACGTTAAAACGAGACTTAATTGCGGTTGTACATAATCGGCCCAGTACATGATTATATTATTCAATCATGAACGGGCTATAA